ATCAGTCGCAAAGAAAGGATTAGTAAAAGAAGAAGCTCTACGCCTTCTAAGATTAAATTCTTCATGCTCCGTGTTTAGTAAAAACTCACAGAGTTTCAAAATACGCCTAAAGAATAGAGGATATCAAGATTAAATTCAGGAGAAATATATCTCTGAATTTGATCTCACCGTTAGTAAAAGGTTTTTCAAAAACTTACTTGAGATCAGGCTTGAGATCGATTGTATAAAACGCTTCCCCGTCCGACGGTCACGTAAGCGCCGAGAGGAGCTGTCTATTTGACTTTTCCTTTTTTCAAAAGAACTAGTGCCGAAATAAGGCGCCAAAACGAGGCGCCGTGCTCACTTGGTTTAAAGTGCGAAGTGTGTCACGTATTCGAGTACGTATAATCCAGTTAATCATTTCAGGTATGTGATATGAATCTTCAGGTCTCGCTCCCTCATACATGTCTATGATTGTGGCGATTTCTTAATATTAGAGAGCGTACGCTTAACATGGTGGCAGCGGTTTACATGAACCTTTGAGCCGAAGGAACGGTAAGCAAAATGTTTGATAACGAAGAGGCCTCAACACCGAATACAGCGGGGAACACCAATGCCAGAAATATCGCAAACACTCCAAGGATTACAACCTACCACAAGATTGGACTTGACTCCAAAGAGCAAAGCTGAGAACTGGAAAGTCAACAAACAACACTGGAAAAATTATGCGATAATAACCCAAAATGACTATCATCCTGAAGAATGTAAAGTCGCCCTTTTTTCTTTATTTTGTCGGCTATGAAGCAAGGAAGACCTACAATAGCTTTGACATTACACCAGAGGACCAACGAAACTTTTGAAGCCATCGTAGAAGCTTTTGACAAGTATGCGATCGGCGAGAAAACCGAGACTTACGGGGGGTTTCTCTTTAATAGAAGAAATCAAGGAGTCGGCGGGTCGATTGACTCGTACTTGGCTACCCTGAAGATATTGGCCCAGTCATGCAACTTCTGCTCATGTCTTCATGACACACCCACACGTGACTGGATTGTCTTTCGAATGCAGAACAACAATACACGAAAGGGTCTTTTACGACACCCTAAACTCGACCTTGAAAATGTCTAGAAACGTGCTGAAGGTTGATCTACCTAAGGGAATATCAGACTTTCGCGGAATAAATGTGACACCTGTCATCTCAAGGTCCTTTGAGAAAGCTGTTATAGGAACACACGCAAGGGAGACCTTCGATGAACATTCTGGGATCTCACAGTTTGCATACATAGAAGGAGGGAGCTGTACCAATGCTCTACTGACTACCCAACATACTGTCAATCAATATCTTGATATCCCAGAGTGCAAAGCGGTACGCCTATTTGCTATGGATTTCAACAAGGCTTTTGACAGTGTGAAACACGATCTCCTCTCACACAAATTGAAGCAACTTCCCCTAAACCCTTATATAGTTAACTGGTATCTAAGCTTTTTGGAAGACAGGCAGCAGAGAGTCATTAGAAATGGGTTTATTGGTAAATGGAAAAGTGTCAACAAAGGTACCACCCAAGGAAGTGTCAGCGGGCCGCACTTGTTCAATGTCTTTCTCAGTGATTTAGAGATACACTTGGACAATAAGAGCGTGCTGGTAAAATATGCAGATGATACAACCATTATCTCGCCTGTGATAGGTGATAATGACAATTCTATCGCACTGATTAATCAGTTTTCCCAGTGGTCTAGAAGTAATGGTATGTGTAGCAATCCATCTAAGTGCAAGGAAATCATTTTCCGCAAGAAAGGTTGTACAATAGAGTTTCCGATTGTGTCTGGAATACCACAGACAAAAGAGCTTACTATTTTAGGGGTAACATTTCAGGAAGA